AGAATCGTTGCTCCAAATGGGACTCCAACCCCATTTTGAGCATTTTCCTCGTATGAGACTCTAACCCATTTGGTTGCACTATGGTACTCTAACCTATTTGGTTGCATTATGGATCTATAACCCATTTGTTTTCACTATAGGACTCTAACCCATTTTTTTGATGCGAAGTGTCAGTGCCTTTATTCCAATTCTTACTCTATATAAGTATCGTAATTTGGGACGACACAACAAAGGGTTGTTTCTGGCTATGTGACTAGATAAAAATATAACGTGATTGTATCCGACAACCACAAGGCAATCAAATTCACCTTAATGACACAACAACACAATATGTTCCATACAAGGCATATCATTTCTAAATATGGTGATCACTTATCCATGATGCTCACCTAGGTATCATATCGAACAAACGTTGTCGTCTAATGTTATTCATGTTATCTAACTCATATGTCTAACTTCTTAACCTAATTAGCTCACTAGTTTAACTCACTTGGTTCATCATGTATTTTTCCCAATTATTATTAATTCACTGCATACATATCATGGCAAGTGATTAGTAGTTGATGCAATGCATTAAGAAACATCAAGAAACAAGACATGAGGCAAAAAGCATGAGCCAATCGATTCGTTAGGGAGGCTCAATCGATTGGTTGAGTTCACAATTCCATTTTTTAAAGAAAACAAAATATCAATTGATTGTGATTTAGTGTTAATCGATTGACAGCTGAATAATTTCAATTTTTCAAAACCAGAAAACTCATACAATCGATTGCCAATTGGATGTCAATTGATTGGTTTTTAGTAAAATCACAATTCTTATAAACCTGTGGGTGCACCCAATCGATTGGCCTGGAAGGGATCCCATGACCAATCAATTGGTCCATGTTTTCTTCTAAAAATCTCCTATATAACTTCCATTTTTCTAACCTGTTAACACTTGTTTCACTTCCAATAAACAGAATACCCAAAACTACAATCAAATACATGACATGGGTCATCAAACGACATGTATATATTATATTACTTATCAAGTTCATGAAGCATATAATCATAACCAAAATAACAACATTCAAACATATGAAGAACAACTATCATAGAGAACATCAGTAAAGCGTTGATCATGGTAAAACTCATGAATAGGTAGAACATATATCACACTATCATGAATCTTTCTAACATAAACCTTAACTTCAAAAATCATAAAACTCTAACTAGAACCCACCTTGATGATGATATGGAGAGATTTTTGGAAGATGATGAGATGAGATGGTGATTCCAAGCTCTTGGTTCCTCCAAGTTTCTTCTATTTCTTTTCACAAGGTTCCCTCTTTCTCTCTTATGTTTCCTTTCTATTTCTTTTTACTGATACATTTCCAAATGAAGATGATACATATAAGCATGACATGAAGAGAAAAAGTTGGTAAGGATATGTGGTGACAAAACAAAGGAGAATTTGTGTGGTTGGGAATGAAGAGTGGTAGAAAAATATCACAAGTGATACCATATTTTATAATTTGCTCTACAAGAGTAATTCACCCATTATTAATGTTCTCAAAATGTCTCTTCTTATACTAATTTATAAAAGGTCAGTCTCAAAGAATATTAATTAAGTCAATCTGAATTAACTAGTTTCTCTATTTTCACAACTGATAACTTTCAGAGCACATAGGAACTCAGTTGTTCTCAACTGATATGAATTTGAGTATTTAAGAAAATACGGGGTATTACAACTTCGATTATCTTAAGCCAAAGGGTGATCAAATATAACTTTGTAATATATATGTTTGATATATTTTTGAAATTGATGTAAATAACTTTTTTTTGAGAATGATGTAAATAATATTTTTGGATTTTGATCTAAATGATGTTTTGACTTTTGATTTAAATAATATTTAAGTTTGTATTATATGTATAAATGACAGATACTAAAAAAAGGAGTATATATGGAATAATATTTTAAAAAAAATATTTCACCACGGTTTATTTAGAGGACAATTGAGATATGTAACGCGCCAAATATAATATATCATACAAATGATGAGAATCGAACCTCTAACCTTTAACTATTTAACAACGTTTAATTAGAATAACATGGATTATAAATAACATGCTACTTAGTATATCACAACAGTCACACATCCGTGATCATAAATAGCGAACTTACAATCACACCCAATTTCACCATGGATGATCATTGAAGAAAAAGCATTCCTTATTGAATCTCTTTGCAAAATCATCCACCTCGTTAGCAAACAGTACACCGTCGTAAATCTTCCGATCCGGGATGAAAGCAGTTTAAGAAGGAGAGATAATTTTATGAATAACCTTCCTGAGCCTGCATGCGAGCATCTTGGATATAACCTTCAGCACACAGCTGACGAGGCTAATAGGTCTAAAGTCTTTGAATTGTTGGGGATTTTTAGTCTTCGGGACAAGCGAGATGAAAGAAGAAGCGAATGATTTCGGAAGGTAACCAGTTTTGAAGAATTCCAAAATGCAATTCGAGAAATCGTCACCCAGAATCTCCCAACAAGACTTAACGAATTTGAAATTGAAACCATCGGTACCGGGGCATTTATTACTGTCACATCTGAAAATAGCATATCTGACTTCTGCAGGGCAAAAATCAGCTTCCAGCCATATCCTGTCTTCCTCATATAAGCAAACAATATGATCGAAGTCGATTGTAAACTTTGGCGATGAATTAGTCTTGTATCTCTCCTTAAAGTACTTCACTGCTTCACATTTAATGGCTTCAGGATCTTCCTCTATCCCTTCTCCCACTCTAATAGCTGATATACAGTTCGAACGGTATCTAGTTTTTAAGGAATCATGGAAAAACTTGGAATTTTGATCCCCATCTTGAAGCCACTTTAAACGGGGTTTTTGAGCCAACATGCTTTTTTTTAACCTGAGATTCTTCCACATCTCCTCCTGATTTCTCAATCTATCCTTGTTCAACTCTTCGTTGTTGGAGATAGAGATCAAGTCGTTGTCCAGCTCTATCGAATTAAGGTTAGAAACATTCTCTTCCATCTTTAAGTCTAGCCAACCGAAAACATTACGATTACAGTTCCGAATGTCACTTTTTAAGGCAGATAATTTCTTTATCAGAATGTTACAGTAAGAACCTGATACATGGTAGGAACTCTACGACTGCTTAAAAAACGGGATGAAGTCCTTATGAGAGAACCAACAATATGAAGGACCTAAAAGGTTTTGGCCCCCAGTTCACGAAATTCGACTTCAACCACACAGGCCTGTGGTCTGAAATATCTCTATCGCCCATCAGATTTATCAGAGAAAGCATTGATATTGCAATATCATCCACCAAAAACCTGTCCAATCTACTTGTGCATTTTCCATTGGAATTGAACCAAGTAAACTTATTACCAAACACCGGAAGATCCGTCAATTTCATCTCAGCGATAAACTCGCTGAAAACCTCCATATCCTTCATGCTGTTAGCACTTATACCTTTTCTTTCCTCCTCAATCTTAACCTCGTTAAAGTCTCCCGCCACTATCTAGCTAGCTCCTGATATTTACTTTTAATTTTAGCGAGCTCCCTCCATAACTTCCTTCTGTCAGCGGAACCACACAGAGCGTAAACATTGACCACGATAAGGTTTTAATTCTTCCACAAGAATTGAATGCCCAAGTAACCAGCACCGCAAAAGCTAAATAAGGCTGTAACTTTCAACCTATTCCACAAAGTAATAATTCCTCCAGATCTGCCATTAGAGTTAAGGGCTGACCAATCCACATCAGAATTCTTCCAAATGCTATGAGCTAACCTGTTCTCCATTTGCGTTACTTTAGATTCCTAAATAAGGCAAATGTCAGCATTGCCTCTCTGCAGAGTTTGAGAGATTCTCCTTCTCTTTAATGAACTGCAGCATCCTCAAATATTGTAGGTTACTATATTCATAATCCACTGGTAGCTACAACCTTCTTACCTAATCTAACAGCATTATCCTCACTATCCATTTTTCTCAATTTGATTGGAACATCGTCAATTGCCCTTTTACAATGCAAATTTCCTCTTTCCACATCCGTATAAGTAATAGATTCACCACCCAGGAGTTCAGAATAAGACTGACAAGTTTTATTGATCCGCATTGTCTTATTCCTTCCCTCCCTATCTGAAAACTCCTTCGATGTTGCTGCATAACCTTTTGAAGTCGTGAGCAGGAGGTTTGTGTAATAAGATGGGGTGTATGGGATCTTGATGCATTTATAAATCTCATGAAGCATCTTCTTCTTTTTGGATTTTCCTACTAAAGCAGGCCCAAGAATCCCATCAGGAGGTCCAATAGTAGGATCAGGCAGTCCCAGATCCACAACAGGATCCCCATGTAGGCTAAAGTTATTGTTTGTCATATGGATCTGATTCTGTTCAATATCAACCGGAACAATAGCAGGATTGTGACCAGCTGAAACAAGAAATTCTGCAGAGTTCCCAATTATAGTCCCTTGAATACCTACATCTGCTTCACTCATACCAAAACTGTTTCCAACAACAGACACAATATCAGATGCAGTTTGGATGTATTCTGATCCTAGGGATTCAGCATCTGGATCTTTCTCATCAGGTTCATTAATCGATGCATTGGAATCTCCACTCTCGTCCTCATTAAATTCCTCCCACTCACCATCAAACTCTGATGGGCCTGATGATTCAAACTCTTCTAAATTTATCATCTCGTCTTATTCTCCATTCAACGACAAAAGATGGCCACCTGAAACTTCTTCATTGATATAAATATGGCAGGCAAAGTCACACACTTTAACAGCAATCATCTTATTTTGGATCACCCCTAAGTTCGTCTTAATCAGCATTCTCGCAGAATCCAAACGCTCTCTATTACTAGTCTTCTCATCACATCTGATAAAGATTCCCAAACTAGCAGTAATCAACCGAATGTTGTTAACACTCTAAGCAATACTGGGAATGCCACTGCAAACAACCTAGGCAAACCTATATGTGTCCATCTCATCCTAATCCCAAGGTCTAATCTCACTGAACCATAACTCCAGCCAATCCCTAGCTTCTTTGATGAATACCTCAACATCACCACCTGAATTGTCTTCCAACAAGCACTTAGAGGCACCCATAGGTATGACCTTAATGTTGAAAAAACCTTCTTCATTAATGATCTTTTGGATGTTGAAAGCGTTTCCTCCCTCCATGACAATTCCCACTCTCATTCTTTTTAACCTTTGTTCCCAATCTTCATCCACCTCAAGGTTCGCGCAAGAGCCTCCTCCCCAAATCTTGCTACCAGGCTTAGGCTCCCTCTCACTTACCATGTTAGCAAATGATCTAGCAGCTGTGACAAACTTCTCAGAGTAACTAGGTCTTCTCTGTTTGCTATGCTTCCACTCCTTCTCACCAACTGGATTCTTCAGCTTCTGATCCATACTAAACCTGGGTATGTTAGCATGCATCTTCTTACCTTCTAATACAATACTATCGAGGTTACACGCTAAAACTCTAGGATCGTGAACCTTCCTAAACTTAGCGAAACCGAATCTTCTACCCCTCTTGTCGTGCCTCCCAGCTATAAAGACTTCTGATATGACTCCATACACCTTGAACACCTCAAACAACTCTTTAGCATTCACCTTGTCTGGGAATTCGGTAATGAAGAAAGACACTGTCGGTTCCCCATCCAGAGTGCCTTTCCCATTGTTCTCCTTCCAGACTGAAATGCCACCCTTCCTTCCAAGTCTAGCGTTCCTACCTATCCTTTCCCAGGCCATCAAGATCTACACTCTCAATCCTATAGAAACTAGAAAGGTTACCAAGGCCCCTAAACTCAAAAGTTAGGAATTTAAGCCGAAAATAACCACCTGATCTTCAGTGGATCGAGTTATGCAGCAAGAATCGAAAGGATGAAGTGAAGAAACTATGGATTAATGGAGAAATTTGAGGAATTTAGGGATTAGGGTTAAGAATTGGGGTTAGGGTTGTGAATTTGGAGAAATCACTGTTCATCGGAACATATTTGCTAACGATATATATATATATATATATATATATATATATATATATATATATATATATATATATATATATATATATATATATATATATATATATATATATATATATATATATATATATATATATATATATATATATATATATATATATATATATATATATATATATATATATATATAATTGAAATGTACTCAGGATAATTTTTATGAACAAAGACAAAATATCATAATTTTTCAAATAAATCCAAAAAAAAAATAAATAGATTTAACATCTTAAAATCTAGATCTCACACATTAAAATAATAATAAAGCCTAAATATAAATATATTTTATACTTAATTTATGTCAAACCATTAAACTTTGGATCCATATTATATTTTAAATCTTCAAATTAATAAAAAAAATAAGTGGTTGAATGCTTAAATTTATAATAAATATTAAAAGATGTAAATTTTAAAAATTTAAATTTTTAAAATACAAGATAGAACTATAAAGTTATATAATCTGTGCCTTGTTTTTTCCCTTTTTCAACACAACCAGAGACTTACATAAATTAGAAACAACAAAGTTATAAATAACAAATCCCTAACTAAATGTATCAAGTAAATCCGAATCATCCAACTCCTTAATAAATTCCTTAAATATCTTATTCCTTGTTTTGGAAAAGTAAAACTCCGCAAATGCAAGTAATATGTAAAGTGTAACAAAATTAGTTAATTTTTTCTTTTGGCAATGAAGTTGTTTTTCAAATATTGTTAATTGTTACTTCAGTCCCTTTAAATAGATCTAATATTTGATATTGTTGGTCTTCTTCTTCTACTAGTGATTTACTTCAGTCCCTTTTTAGCTTTCATATTCCACCTCCCTACTATAAAAATAATACAATTAAGATTTTTTTTTTATTTCACTGCTTCCGCTTCTGTCTCCACAAGATTCTTTTATCTTCTTCAATTATTTTCATCTTTCTTCTATTGTAAATTTTTATTTTATTTTTCTAGATGTTTCGATATTTTTATTTTATTTTACTTGTGACTCGGAAATCGGGATCTTTAGGTATTAGGTACGTATCAATTATCATGTTTGAAGTTGTTTGAAAGTTTTGAAAGAATTTTTTGTTGTTTTATCTTTGTGACTCAGCAGTCGGCATCTATGAATGGTATATTTTTTATTGCTTTAAATTATGGATATACTACTTTTGTGATTTGGTAGTCTGGTTCTACGTGTACTTTTTTTTTAATTTTTTTTATTTTATTTTATATTTTTTTTCGAATTGTTTATTCTATGTTTGTATAAATTATATGTTTGAAAATTTTGTTAGAATTTTAACAACTCCTATTGTTGGTCTTTACATGTAACTATGACGGTATTATTATAATATGAGTTTGCATAAAACTATTGAGAAAACTCTTTCTCTCTGCTTCTACATATACTATAAAAACAACACAATTTGTTTGTTTTATCTTGTATGAATGTTGATATTGTTTATTTTATCTAATTTTTTTTTATATTGTTTAGTATAGAGATGAGTACTTCTATTTCTAGTCAAGCTCAAGCCAAGGAAAAAGATGATACCACCAAAACTCTATGGCAGTATAAAATAAAATAAAAAAGAATGTTGGAGGTGGAAATAATGAAATTCAATGTCATCTTTGTAAGATAACTTTTAATGTGTCTTATACTAGAGTTGCAACACACTTGTTGAAGATTTCAGGACAAAGCGTGAAAGGTTGTAAACAAGTAAAAACTGACAACTTTCTAAACAAGGATGTACAGTGAGTATACATTGAAGATGGAAAAGCTAAAAACAAATCCAGTCTCTTTGCCTCCGGTTTCTAGTGCACCCCAAGATTCTTCCACCATGAATATCAGTGTTAGAACCAAAAAAGAGAAAGGCGTCAACACTAGACATTGCTTTTAATGTGCAATCTAGAGAAGCATTGGGTTATAAGATTGCTAGGATGTTGTATTCTGCAGAGCTGTCATTTTATTTAGCAAGAAATCCTCACTTTCGGGAAGCTTTTGCTTATGCTTCCAACAATTATATATCTGGTTATCAACCTCCAACTTATAACATGTTAAAGACTATATTACTTCAAAATGAGTGGAACCATGTGGAAAACTTGATGCATCCTATAAAAAATACATGGAATCAAAAGGGTGTGACTATTGTCAGTGATTGATGGAGTGATCTACAGAGAATACCTTTGATTAATTTCATAGTTGTCTCATGTTAGAACAAATTATTCATATCCCTTGGGTTTTAATGATAACAAAGTACTTAAAGAATAAATGGGTATACTAACATATGTTCAAGTGTGCAGGATCACAAGCTTAGAATTCACTCTGAATTAATCTTATTAAAAGCATTTGTGGAGAAGAAATGTAACTCAGATTATGATTGATCAAAATCTGATGACTCTAAAGTGCATCAGCCTCTAAAGATTCAGACTCTGGTCATGTGCTCCAACCTTTGGTGACAACTCAGACTCTGAAGGCTAAAGTTTCCTCTAATTCATACCATGTACTAAAAGTAGACATATCTTATTAAACTGTCGGATTTTTGGAGAGGGTCAACTAGGATTTTGATTTGCAAGGCTCAAGGAATGGTGATGTGACCTCTTCAGTCTGTTCTACCTTTTAATAGATATCTAGTACTTCAAAAGATGTTATAGACAATGCCTTTATTTAATAGGCAACGTTTCTCGCTAGATACATCCTCCAACGTCTCTCTTGGCATGCTTCTTCATGAAGAAAACTCTTATGCTCAAACTTCCAATGACTCTTTCTCTGCCCCTATAAAAGGAAGTTGAAGATTTGAAAGAATGTTACATCAACATAATACAACATCTTGAGCATAACTATGAGTTATTATTTCCAACTGTCATTGCATAAGATTTTAAAATTTCTTATCTTTATTTATCTTAGAAGTCTTAAGAGGTTAAGAACCTTTGTGGTTGTTGCACAAATGTTATACTTATGATTATGTATCTAAGTATATTGGTTATCTTTTCTACTAAACTGTTTGTTTAAAGTAGAGGATGTCTCTTGCCTACGTGCTTGAGCAGTGAAGTCTCTTGCCTGTCTGCTTGAGCAGTGAAGTCTCTTTCTAGGTTGATTAAGCAGAAGTCTCTTGCTAGGTTGCTTGAGCATAAGTCTTTTTATATATTGATTTTTTAGTGAATTATCTTGCTAATTTGCTTGAGTAAAGTGTGATCAGTTTAATTATAGTGAGATGCTCTTATTGAGACAAGGGGACTAGACTACTCTTAGTTGGGGAGAGAAACCAGGATAAACTTTGTCTGTTTCTTGCTTATTGCTTCTGATCCATATTTCCGATGCTATCATAGATTTTGATATCAGACTCTGAACTTTGTTCAAATTCTGAAGTTGCTTAAAAGAAGCTTATTGTTTTTGGCATACACAATTCAACCCCCTTCTTGTGTATTTTTCTCACTTTCATCACAGAGAGTCGACCTATGTTTCTAAAGGCTGTAAGTTGCTTTAATGAGGTAAAAGATAGAAAATTCATTGATAAACGGATTAGGGAGGATATTATGGAGGTTGACCGTTCAAATATTTTGAAGGTAGTGACGGATAATGCACATATTTGTAAGACGGGTTTAATTATCGAGGCTGAGTTTTCTTTTATTTACTGGACCTCATGTGTTATGCATACATTAAATCTTACTTTGAAGAACATATGTGCAACCAAGGATACTGAAAAAATAGTGTTGTTTATAAAGAGTATTATTGGATTACTAAAATTGTAGATGATGCAATGTTTATCAAGAACTTTGTCATGGGTCACTCTATGAGATTGTCAATTTTCACTTCATTCAGTCGTTTAAAGTTACTTTCGGTTGCTTCAGCAAGATTTGTGTCCACTATTGTAATGCTCAAGAGATTTAAGATTTTGAAGAAGGAACTCTAACAAATGGTGATTAGTGAGCAATGGTCTTCTTACAAGGATGATGATGTTCAAAAGGCACAATTTGTGAAGGATACCTTGTTTTTTGATAACTGGTGGGAAAAGGTTGATTATATACTTTTTTTCACTAATCCTATTTATAATGTTCTTAGAATAACCAACACATAAGCTTCATGTCTTCATCTAGTTTATGAAATTTAGGATTCAATGATTGAAGATGTCAGAAAGGCCATACATAAGCATGAAGGAATATCAAATATTGAAATATCATCCTTTCATCAAGTAATCCATGCTATATTAGTTGATCGTTGGACTAAGCGTATCACACCTATCCATTTCTGAGCTCATTCTCTAAATCCAAGGTTATTAAGTTTTAAATTGATACTTTTAACTTACATCTTCTTTTGGATTACATAAACTAATAAATATATTTTTTATTGTTGGTATTATAAAAAATCTTGACTTTGAGCTCACAGATAAATTGGTATTATAGTACATCATGGCTAAGTCAAAATCCTAATAGAGTCCTTCCATATCAAGACTTTGAGCTCACAGATAAAAGAAAAAAAATTTCAAAAGGGTGTTTCCTAATGTAGATGAAAGAAGGAGAGTGAATATATAGTTTGCTAACTTCTCAAATGGAAGAGAAGGTTTTGAAAATCTTGATTCTATTGTCGATAGAGATAAAATGGATCCAAAAACATGGTGGTTGGTTCATGGTGCTCAAGCTCCATTACTTTAAAAGGTTGTGCTTAAGCTAATAGCACAACCTTTTTCATCATCATGATGTGAAAGAAATTGGAACACATATTCATTTATTCATTCTTTG